CTCTTGTACAGGCTCTGACCTCTGCTCTGAATCAGTCATCACTATGATTCCAACTGCCATCCATTTTCAGAATATTCATGCTTTTATGAGTATATTATTTTTCTTCCCCCTTTATTATCCTTTTAATGAATTGGGGGATGTGAAGTATTTAGTCTATTGTCTTGTAAAAGTAGTCTACTGGTTCAAAATTTATGGAACATAAATCTCATTTTGTTTCAATTTATTTTTATGGTTGCAAGTATTACAGATATTCCCTTTTATTCCCTCATTGACCCCCTCCACGTGAATCTTGACCCCTCCCCAGGCCTTCATCACACTATTGTCTGTCCTTGGGTTATGCATATATGCACATAAATTCTTTGGTTAATCTCCATACACACACACACCCATCCCTCTGAAANCTTTGGTTAATCTCCATACACACACATACCCATCCCTCTGAAATTCATCAATCTGTTGCATGCTTCAATGTCTCTGGATCTATTTTGTTCTTGAGTTTATTTTGTTCATTAGATTTGACATAAACGTCGTTTTTTTTCTGGTGTTCCCTGAACCAGTGTTCTTCTTTATCTTATAGGCCACTTCTAAAGAAAACTAAAGCCCTAATTCCTCTTCTGCAGATTTTCCCACATCTAACAAATTGTTGGCATAGTTAAGGATTATAAAATGTTCTGCAGTAGTACTTCTGAACCCGGTGTGGGAGAAATTAGTGAAGTTCTTTGGTCTCCATGGAAATGTCTAGCAGGGGTGATCTAGTAGCAAGAGCATGAATGGGCTTGGAATTAGATAAATGGAGACTTGAATTACATTTCTCAAACTCAAGACCCTAGATGATGTTGCTTAACTTTTTAGAATCTGCATTCTAATACATAAATTTGTAAAAGTAATCTTGTCTCACAGGTTTGTTATGAGAATTGAATAACACATATGAAATGCAAAGCAGTTGGGTGCTCAGTGTATGCCTTCCCCACTCCCCTCTCTCATACAGTCATCTGTAATCCATGCTTTAGACATGTTTGTTATATAAGAATCAAACTCTTTAGATCCCATGAATATTAAACGCTTTATTTTTTATTGAATTTATTGGGGTGACATTGGTTAATGAAATGATACAGGTTTTAAGTGCACAAATCTATCATATATCATCTGTGTATTGCATAGTGTGCTCACCACCCAAAATCAAGTCTCCGTCCTTCACCATTTATTCCCCCTTCACCCTCTTCAACCTCCCCAAACCCCCTCTTCCTCCGGCAGTACTGTTGTCTGTATCTGGTTTGTTGTTGTTGTTGTTGTTTTTGCTTAATCCCTTCACCTTTTTCACCCAGCCCCCCAAACCCTCTCCTCTCTGATAGTTGTCAGTCTGTTCTCTGAATTAGTCTGTTTCTATTTTGTTTATTTTGTTCATTAGATTCCACATATAAGTAAATCATAGNTGTTTCTATTTTGTTTGTTTATTTTGTTCATTAGATTCCACATATAAGTGAAATCATATGGTATTTGTCGTTCTCTGACTGACTCGTTTCATTTAGCATAATACTCTATTTTAAAATGTAATGAAACCCTAAGATTGGTACTGTTATAGGATCTATTCAATTCTTTTGCTCCCCTGCTCAAACTCTAAATACCTGAGTGTCTTCTGAGCATATTAACATGTGCCAAGTCATAGTATTATTCAATCTGGGCATCCCTTTGAGTTCCAGCCCTTTGCAGTTACTCCTCCGCATCCCTAAGGTCTAAGCTTTCATGTCAGTTCCATAGTAAAGTCATCATTCCTCTCCCCAACTAGGTCAGGTCCCACTTTTGAATACTCCCACCATATCTTCATGGTTTGTAACCATATTATTTCTGTGATTATTTAATATCTGTCATGTTTACTAGAGTCTAATTTTCTGAGGGCATTTTTGGTTATAAGTATATGTACAGTGATCAGCCAGTCCATCAGCAAATTGTAGGAACTCGGTATTTTTGGAATGAATTAACAGAAAATTTCAGGAAGGGCTATTCATTTATTTGTGTTTTTTCTCATATTTTCCTAACCAAGTCATTGTCATATGGATTTTTAAAATAATCTTTGTTTTAGGGTAAATTCAGCGTTCCATCAGGTTGAGATTTTACATTTCTAATATTATTTTAATCACTTCTAGCATTTTAAATATTTACTTTTAACCTCCACTTTAATTTTTCTACATATTCTTTCTTAAAACTGAGTTTGTGAAGTACAGCCTTGTACAGGCCGTCTGCTTTTCATCAGCAGCAGCATAGTCATAAATGTAATTGACAATTAATTATGTTTTTAATTAGAGTTTTTAAGTAATCATTGAAAAATTTATTTTCATAATTTAATGGCCTAGTGCAAAGATGTTTGCTTATTGGCATTGTTTTTACATGTTGTGGCACATGACATGGGGATTGGATGAATAGAGGAAAAGAGTATCTAATTGCTAAGCATAATTACAGATCTCTAAAGAGTACCTGCCTTTTAAAAATCCTAGACTGGTATAATTTATCTTTTAATTCTAACAAAGTAGTGAAAGAGGATCAGATTATTTGGCTAAACTATTTCTTCAGCTCCTGAATATTATGGTGCCAGGGTTGAAGTATCACCTCAGATAAGTATTTTAAATTAATTTAAACAATGTAATTCTTTGTGCAGTAAATTAGCTTAAATCCCAAATTTGAAGTTGGTTATGTTTGCAAAGGATAGCTCTGTTTCTTTGCTTAGCCCACCATGCTCTTCAAAAGAATTTACATTTATTTTAAAAATATTAGAAATGCTAGAAACATTCAAGATTTCAAAATACAATCTTGAATAGAAAAGCACACATTATACCAATTATCTAACAGTTTAGGAGAGAAAATGTTTTAGAGAATTCTGCTTTGCTTAAAATGCACAGATTGCTTTTACTATATACAAAATGTTAAAGAAATAATTAAAATGTGGTCTGGTAAACTTTGAAAAATAAATTAATGATGTTAATACTATTTTATAAGCATTGACCTCATTTTAAGTACACATTTAGAATGTTTATCAATAAACTACTTTCATTAGCTGTAGTATGTATCTTTTGCTGTGATAGTATGCAATAATATTGACCTATGTCATTAAGAATAAATAAAATTAGGGATTATTGAATATTCATTTAGTAATATTGATCCACATGCAGACAGAAAAATCACTGTGTCTCTGGGCTAAAGAGATTGATAAAGAGTATTCCTATTTTCATGAAGCTTATCCTTAAGTTTAAGGAACTAAACATAATACAACACAAAATTTTAAAAATTATATGGTCAGCCCTGGCTGGTGTTCCTCAGTTGGTTGGAGCATCATCCCATTCACCAAAAGGTTGCGGGGTTCAATTCCCGGAAAGGGAACATACCTAGGTTGTGGGTTCAATCCTTGGTTGGGGAGCTAAAGAGACGCAACCAATCAGTATTTCTCTCTTACATTGATGCTTCTCTTTCTCTCTCTCTCTACCCCCCCTTCCTCTCTTTAAAAAAATCAATAAACATGTCCTTGGGTGAGGATTAAAGAAAACTAATAATGGTCAATTTAAAAGGGCATATTAAGGAGCATTGTGTAATTATTACCAGCGTAGTTACAGGGGAATTCCTGGAGGACTTCAGGTTTAGTTAAGTGCTGAAGGATAAGCAGTGTAGTATAATAGAGGCATAGTTCCCCCAAGGTAATACAACAAAATGATTATAATGATAGTAATAAAAACTAACATATATTGTCCACACACTTTGTGTTTGATGTTTTTTTAAGTACATTATATATAAAATCTCAGTAAATTCTTAGAGCAATCCCTATGAGACATTATTCCATTTTTCAGGTGAGGTCACTGAAGCATTGAAAGTTGAGTTGAGTAGCTCACTCACGGCCATGCCTTGTGTAGAAGAGCATAGAAAAGCAGTATGGAACAAGACTACAGAGGTCTTTAAATGCTTTTATAAGATGGTTTGGTTTTCTTAAATAATGACCACTTACAGAAGAGAGTGATTCCAGTGAAAAAATTAAGGATGCGTTGAAAAGAAATGGAGATGAACAAAATGAGGAGGCTCCAGTGGAGACACTGAAATGGTACGGGACTGGGGCCAGGGGGTGCGGGGCAAGGGGTAAAAAAGGGACATCTGGAATACTCTCAACGATAAAACTTAATAATTTAAAAATTAATAAAATAAAATAAATAGTATGGGACATCAATGATGACTCTGTGAACGAGGGACNACTCTCAACGATAAAACTTAATAATTTAAAAATTAATAAAATAAAATAAAATAAATAGTATGGGACATCAATGATGACTGTGAACGAGGGACGATACTAGGATCCTAACTGAACTGATGGGGCTTCTCTACTGGGAGGTGAGAAATAGATGAATCTGACCTAAGTTTACATTTCAATCAAGCTATTTAAAGAGGTGTAATGCATCATTTGGGGGGGAAAATGTTCCCACAAAATTTATTTTAAATTTTGAAAATGTTACTATAGAACTGCTTAAGTTTTGATTACCTATATTTTGAACCATTTAATTCAGGCCGATACTTGATAATGGACCATGATATCCGTTTCTTCGCAGTTTGCTCTTGAACAGCTGTGCACATGAGCCCCTCCTCTTTCCTTCCTGTTTTACTCACCTTTCCTGCTTCCCCTGACTTCTGCTGGTCATTTATCTCGATTATCTGCCCCTAAACACCTCCTCATACTTTCTAAAAATATCTGGAGCATCTATTGTGTTGTCGATTCTCTTGTAACCACTTTATATCTTTCAGATTATTTCCTTCTAGTTTATCCAAATTTTCCCTTAATATAATGCTTCTAAACTTCTGGTTGCCTCCCCTTTCCCATACAAATTCCTAAATAGTCAGGTTGACTTTGCAGGTTTCTGTTACTAAGGATATTACTTATAGTAATATCAATAACCCTAATTAAAAGATAATAATTTTGGATATTTAAATTGATTCCTAAATCAAAATAAGAATGCAAAGGAGACTGAAAATAATACTTTGAAACACGATTATTTTAATATGTTTACAGGGAAAGAGTAAATTCACCAGCCTAAAAAAAAATTACCAAAATTAACATTTTACAGATTTTTAGTCTCAAAGCACAATACATTTTTCATAGAAACAAACATATCACCATTATAGGTACCATAATATGGCAACATTTATACACACAGCCATGTACCATTAAGAAAATCAGTGGCAATGGTGATGCAATACATTAGTTCATCTCTGTTCAATGTTTTGCTAGTATACTTCCTGGCCTGCAGGAGTGTTTTCCAGGATACAAAAGAAAATGTGACGTCAGTGTGAACAGTACACAGAAAGCTCTGGCTGCCCATGCTTAGCCCTTTGTTTAGGACCACTAGGACTGTTTCCTACCACCACTCTGACTTCATTGCATTTACTACTAAAGCCATTCCCAGAGAATCAAACATTATAACAGATTCATTTGGATATTAAGGAATTTTTTTATACAAAATAAGAAATACAGCATCAGGATTTAATATCCTATATGCCTAAACTTAACAGAAGAGCAAAACTGTACAGGTAATAAGTGGAAAATAATTTGAGATGAGTTGGAGTAGGTAATGGCATAGCATCAAACTGGGGAATTGTAATAACATGGTTTCTTTCATTTTTAGATTTATTATTCTTATCACTGTTGTTTTTAAATGTACCAGATGATTGTCTGAGGGCCATTCACATTCAGTGTTTAGATTCATTTTATTAGTGGCATATACAAAGCACCATATAATATAACATAAAATGTAGAACAATCATGACTATGTAATTAACTGTAGAAATAACTGCTAAGAAAATATAGCAATATTTAACACAGGATTTCTAAAACCATTACATATCCATTACTTTTTCCAAAGCTAATAATGTCCCATGTTTTATTTTACAGACTTTGTGTATCAAGATTTATATGCATTTGGCACCTTTTGGGGGGCTGAAAGTAGTTGCGGTCTTCTGTACAGTAATGTTACAGTTTTATACAACTTCAGAAACACGGTGTTTGGCATAGTCTTTATGTTCCTCTTCCAAGGGTTCCATTTCACACAACAGCAAATACTCTGAATGCCTTTCCTCCTGGAGGATTCTGTAAACTGCAAAAATATAAACAGAGTATTGATGTCATCTCTGCATATAATCCCTCAAATAAATCATGCTTTCTTCTGACAGTCAAGAAAGCAGCTCTGTGAAGCCAGATGGTCACCTGTCTTAGGCTTCTGTAATTTATAGTTACTGGAAAACTTGAGTGGAGATGACATAATTCTTCAAATCTTGCATGCTGAGTTGCAAGTTCACTAAAGAAACTTAAGGTGCATAGTGGTAATAATAGTATTTTATATAGAACTTCACTGGTTCCAGACCATGTTTTCATATATAACCGCCTCTGATTCCAACAGAGAGAGTTAGCAGCTGCAGTTCAGTTTCACTGGGGGAATATTAAGATGCTGCTATTCAATACTGAGATCGAGGTTCACTGCCTGACTTACATGGTTAAAAATGAGCTGCAAATTAAGAAGATGGTGCTATTTAAGCAATACTCTGAATTCCTAACATTATCATTTCCCATGTCTGACAAAATTTAAACTTTATTGCTATCATACTCATTAATATTTTTTAACATCTATGGTTTCAAGAAAGATCTGAGTGAAAAAAATGTAATGGTCAAATCTGAAAGATCCTAAGAACTTTTTCATTAAAATGAAAACACACGCACACAGCACTCAATCTCATTTTGGAGGTATTTTAAAACAAGTTAAAAGCAATACAGAATCATACATTTTACTCTTTCTTAAATTACTTATGTTTTATTTGGCAATATCAAGGTATCTTTTGTTTAAATGCCTAAAATTTAAAAGATTTCTAATGCCATTAATCATCATTTATTCTAATCAAATGCACGATTTTGAAGTCATTACATTTTTGCATAGTTTCTTTTTCTTAGTAATAAAAAAGACTTTGGAGAACAGCACAATAAATGCTAAGAGGGAGACAGTACAATTCCTTATATGTATTTATTCATGTACAAGAAAGGGGAGAATTTTAGAGTGAAGAAAGGATATCATGAGTGTGCACACACCACAAACACACATGCCAGGTTTTTCACACAAGCTTATGGCCACTTGAAAGCCACTTTATTCCTAGGACACAGATTGACTAAGATCTAGAGGCAAATGTGTTTTCTTTGTACACAGTGATTATACTGGGAAAATGCAGATTTCTGAGCCCACGGATCTAGTCCTGAACCCGAGCTCTAAGACTGACCAGTTATATGGCCTTGGGCATAACACTTAACCTTTCTGAGCCTTGGTTAACAGGGCTGTAAATTAGGGTCGACAGAATCGCCTTTTAGTGCTGTTGGTGGAGCTGAGCTCATATACTTGTAAGTGTCCAGTAGCACCTGGAAAATTCATAGCAGATCCTCAAAAATAATTATTCTCAGTTTTCTTAGGCAATATTACCTATCATCTTACTGTTTTAAAATAAATTTAAGAAATATGATAGGTGCCCTGGCCAAGCGGATCAGTTGATTGGAGCATTGTCCCATACACCAACGGTTGTGGGTTCAGTCCCTGGTCAGGGCACATATGGGAGACAACTGATGGATGTTTCTCATATCGATGTTTCTCTCTCTCCCCCTCATCTCCCTCCCTTCTTCCCTCCCTAAAAAATAAATAAATAAAGCATATCCTGAGGGTCAGGATTAAAAAAAAGGAAATATGGCAGGTAAATGAAACCACATCATTCAGTTTCACTTATAAAACTGCATATCATAATCTTATAACTCAAGAATCCACTTTATATATCACACCTGCTTAAGGAGTCCATAAACCAGGTTGTAGAGAAGTCACCTTGATATAGGCTCATCTGAAAACAGATGCTAGCTACAAATCTGTCTTTTTATGAAGACATCACCCAGTAATTACATGGAAGGCAATCCTCACCCAGCAGGGCACACCCTTTGGTGTCCTTTAAAGGCACCTTACTATAATGTAAACCTGTTAGCAATTTAAAGAATTCACTACATATCTAAAAGCTAGGGATCTTTCTGTACCTATACAAAATATATGGGACTTAAAATTACTTCTACAAGTAACAGTGATTTGAAAAGTAGCTATAGGTTCTTTCAACTTTTATTAATACTTCATAAAGTAAGCCATGTGAATTTTCTCAAACCACCAAAATGTATGACACTAATGAGCCAGATACTATGAGATAACCTGAAAGAGTTCATTGATACCATACTAGGCACCCAACATCCAATCAAAAAGAATATTTGGTTCTGGGGAAAATTGGACTCATTGTTATTGTCAAATACTTTGTCAGATAACTGGATTAGAGAAATAATCAGTGCCTTGCTCACCTAGAAAGAATTACATATAAAAACTTAAACTAGCAAATCCAAAAGAAGATGAAAGATATTTCCGTATTATAAGACCAGTTAACAAATCGGACTTGTAATCCGATTTTGATTTTGATTTTTGTAAGCCTGCAGGAGACAGGCACCCCCGGTATTACCACCTCTCCCATCCCTGGAAAACCCACTGCTGCCATCAGCAAAGGAAACACTGCTCAGCTGTATTCTCAACCCACACAGAAGTGAGTGGGTTGTAAAGTGAGCACAAAAGGATAGACTACACAAGTAATTTTAAATTTACCTTTCTGAGAAGATTCCATTCTGAAAAGAAGCGGTGTATGCCTTTCTTTTGTCCACGGGCATGACGTCAACATAGCCGCCGTGATTTCGGACCACCCCTGCATGCACTGCTGCTCTGCAGATACTGGACAGCTGAGGGGACAAGGAAAGACCTGCCATTAGGAAATCCCTGTGAACTCGGCCTGCTTTCTCTGCTGGTGGACGGACGTCACTGGCCTCTGTCTCTCTGTGGATCCTCAGTGAGTAGCAACGGGATGATGATGTTTTGTGTAGAAAGGATTGTTTCAAAAGCCATCCAAAGCCACTTCTGAGCCAGTCCAAAGGCAGAGCGTAAGGGGGCTGCGGTGGTGAGACCCCTCTCCCCAGCTAATCCAGGGAACACATGCCTGTCCAAACAGCAGGCTTTTCTGTTGTTGACACCATAAAATGCAGTTCAGCTCCTTTGACCTCTTCCTGGGCCTATTTATCATTCTCAAGTCTCATCCTTTCCTAGTCCCTACTGGGTTATTGGTACCTCATTTATCTTCAGTTTTGACTTACAAGCAACTCAAGCATAGCTCTATATATCTCTATGGTCCCTTTTCCAAAATACAGGTATATATATTAAATGGGGAGTTTTTCCCTGTTAAATAATGTCCTCAGAGAAAATTTGCCCAAGAGAAACCCCCCCAAAAAATATATGAAGAACCACCACGGCTTTCACCTAGATGTGCAACGTCTGTCGCCACTACGGTTTGAATGGTATGATATGAGGGACTAGGAACATCTGTGATCGCTGCACTGTGTCAGGTATATAGTCTGAATGAATGGGGTTTCTATGGGGGGGAAATGATTGTTTCAGGTCCAACACTTTCAAATTTTTAAAAGGAGACTTCTAGAAGTCAGCTCTTTCCTTTTGGCCCATCAAATTTTCACATTTGCTTTAATCCAAATGTTCTGCCGAAATGTCAGGATAGCTGCATACAGCCTAAGGAAATCCCACAAAATGAAACACGAACTGGTTCAGTATGAAGTGATCCCCCGTATTTCCCCATGGGTCTTTCCTGATCCCCGTGGTGTGCTCTTTTCTCATCCCTGTGCACATGTGACTTCATGTGCTTTGTATAGTCCCCATGAGCATGTGCATCTTACGTGACCTGGCTTTATTACTGTGCTCTGAACCTTGTGGTGTTGGTCAGTATTTATTAGCTCAGCCGAATGCCAAGCCGGCTAATCCCCTTCATGTTTTGCTCTGTCACAACATGCCATTTATTCAAAACTGCATCCTTACTCTCAGGAGGCATTTTATCCACAGTTAAAGTCCTCTGCTGAACTAATATTTGCATCCAGTATGGTTCATAACAGATGGAATTAAAAATAATTCTATACACATTTCAGTATTTATCTTGCTCCATTAAAAACGGCATTATCAGCATTTTCCCCGAGGCAATACAAGTGCTTAGGTAGAACGTTCACTAAACCCAAGCACGTAATCGTTTTGAAACCATTGTTTTGCCCATAACTGTGCAGTCAGCAGGCATTCCGACTTGAGTTCAAAGATCAGAAGAGATTTTCTGTTCATGCCCACTTTATAAGCATTAATATATCATGACAGAAAAAAATTTATCTGTGAAAACAGTGGAACATTTTTAATAAATGCATAAATTAACTTCATCTGTCACAAACGGGAAATAAAAGTTAAAAGCAATTAAATGTGTAAGTTGTAACTCTACAAATGGAAAGAGAAGGAAGAAAAGGGGGGGGAGGAGGAATGAAGGAAGGAGGTCGGTAGATTGGTTCTCATCTCCCCCATATCTTATATTTAAAGGGGCGATATATTTTGTAGTGGTGGGAAGATTGGCAGGTAATGGTTGAATCTCTCTGCACTTACCAGCAATAGTTATCTTTGTACTTCCAAGTTATGCTTAAAAGGATCTACATAATAATACATAATTATCTACCCCTTTCACTTAAATAGAAAGATAACATGATGTCAGGATATAAATTCTAATAAATCCTTTACTCTAGCAAAGAGAAGTCTTATTGGTATAAAAGTGGGTAGGACATTGTGAAAGATTTCACCAGACATAAATAACTAAAATGAAAAGTGTTGGTGCTGAAAGGGACAGTCTGTAAAGAATGATTTCTTTGGAACTCTCTAATGATTCTAGATACGGTCATTCATATACATTTATTAATTTATTATTTTAACAAATTTTTACATGCAAGGTATTTGCTTAGTTCCTGGTGTTACTCTGTGCTCCAAGTTCTGTTGAGTCAGGAAGCCAGCCTGTCTTGTTCACAGCTCAGCACCCACCAAATTGCTGATGAAAAAGTGATGCATGAATTGCCCAGCTACTGCCCTCAAGGGATTTAAAAATCAATAGAAGAGGTAGGGAAAGAATCATAATACCTCACTGAATCAGCTAAGAGCTAACAGGAGAAAACAAAGTAATAGTGTTGAGTGAAGGGCAACATTATCCTTGGATTAGGAGAGAAAGTAGCCACAATTTCGGATGTAAAGAATGACCATGATCTTGACAGATCGAAAATTAGAAAAGGATGTTTTTAAACAGAAACAAGAAGATATGCACAAAGGTGAGGACGAGCAAGTCACAATGCCAACAGGACATTCAGGCTGCAGGTAACACTGCAGACCTAGAGCCCGGGAGAGACTTGGCTGTGGCAAATAATTTCAAGGTAAAGCCAAGCTGAAAGAAACACCTGGGTCTAACTGAACTTACCAAGAGAACTAAGGTGGTAACACAGATTTCGGGCCTCTCTTCACAGTCATGCTCCCATAGTACTCTACTGAACATGTGCATCAACAGAATTATTTCCTAAATGATTTTGTAACTCTCTCGTTTAGAAATCTGACGGTTTCTGAACGTGTGCCGCATAAAATCCAAACTCATCAGCCTGCATCTAGACTCTCCATTTATGTGTCAAGAACTGGATCCCTCTACACAGCACACTGAATTGGCTGCAGCCGTTTCAGCTTCCATCCTCCCCAGCTCCCCAGCAAACCTGTGTGCTATGCCTGCTTGCAGCTCACCTGCTGTCCCCTGCATGTCTCCGTGGATGCCATTCACCCTGCCTAGAATGTCTTCCTTAACCCTCTTTCCGAGCCCTAGCTTGAAACCTGGCTCAGGAGGCTCTCTCTGTACTGAAGCCATCACAGCTAATATGCTTGCCCATCCCAGGAATGTCACCCATTACAGCATCCCCCCAACTGGTTTCCTTTTGTATGTATGCTAGCATATTATCTGTCTGTGATTCTACGCTTATTCTACACTTTGGCGATGAAGACATATCGTTCATACATTTGACAAATTCTTAGTTATCCAGTTTATACTTCAAACACTGAAGGACCAAAAGGAAGATTAAAGAAAAGCAAAATGCATTTTTCTTCCAAGAATGTCTGCAGACTATTTCATGAAGTGTCTGATACAAGATATATGGGTAGGATATAAAGAAAATTTTAATCAAAATCATTGTGCACCCATATTTACATATGGATATTCATTTTTCAGTATTATTGATGGCTTGTTAACTCTTCTGAGAATACATATGTCAGCACACAATCCGATTCCTTATTCTGCGCAGTAGTCCCCCCTTATCTGTGGCTACTGTCCCAAGACCCCCAGGGAATGCCTGAAACTGCAGGTAACACCGAACCCTATGTAGACTGTATATGTCCCATACATACACACTATGCTAAAGTTTAATTTATAAATTAGGTACAGTAAGATACTAGCAATAATAATAAAATAGAATTATAAATATATACTGTAATAAAAATGCAAACGTGGTTGTGGTCTCTTTTCTTCTCTTTCTCTCTCCCCACCCCTCTAGAATATCTTACTGTACTGCACTCATCTTTCACTTACAGGAAGCACTTTATGGCTTCTCTTTGGCATGTTTGAATTGCCAGCATCACTACCCTTGTGCCTGGAGCCATTATTAAGTAAGGGTGAGTTGAATATAAGCCCTGCGATACCATGACAGTTGATATGATAACAGAGATGGCTACTAAGTGACTAACAGGAGGGAGCATTACAGTATGGAGATGCTCGACCAGGATAATTCACTCCCAGGTGGGGCAGAGCAGGACATCACGGGAGTTCATCACAGTACACAGAACAGCATGCAGTTTTTTAAACCATGAATATTTTTTTTATTTAATATTTTTGGACCATGGTTGGCTGTAGGTAACTGAAACCATGGAAAGTGAAACCATGTAACGGGGCCTACTGCAGTGTGTGAGAGCTCCCAGCATGTGGACAAATTTAAGAGTACACTGAAAGAGATCGTTTCATGTAGCCTTTAATGTCACTGTATTTAACAAAAACTTCTATAATAGTTAATAAATCAAGAAATTGTACATAGGCACATTTAAATGTGTGTGTGGGTAGGTATGGGACCCATGAACCTGTACACACACACACACACACACACACAGGAATGCTGGGAACTGCATAAATTAGTATACTTACATCAGAATAAACTCGAGTTCCAATTACACGAGCATAATGTGGATTTGCCTGCATACAGTTACGAGGACAGTATACTCTGAAAAATAAATACATATTTGTAAATAGTAAGCAGCTGGGTACTTCAACTTTCTTACTAGTAAGACTACAGACCTGCATACACAAAAGTGAACTCAGCATTCTAAACCCTACTCATTTTTTTTTCTTCTGAAGTAGGTCAAATGTAAAAGCCAGGCATTAGACACAATTGCTTCCGCTTACACTAGCCACTTCCAGCCTTTGGCACACATGTATTTCTTTTCTTTTATAAAAAATTTAACCAGAAAGCATTCTAACGTAAGGATTCAAAGCAGAAAGAAGCATCAGGAGTAACTCTTAAGTATCGGGGTATTTGGTACCCAGTGTTTCTATACAATTTACTAAACAGATAACTTGGAAAATTTGAATCACTGACTCGTGCATCTCATAGATTCTTTTCTCTATGTTCACATCTTGGGTTTCTCGTCCAGCTTCATGGTTTTATTTATCATCTATAAGTTGTCGATTTCCAAATTTACATCTGTAGTTGAGACCATAATAATTAAATCATTACTTAATAAATTTCTATGTCCTACTGCTTATTCCATATCTTCACTTAGATCTAATAAACATCTCAAACTTAGCATGTTTGAACCCAAATTCTTAATCTCCACCAGCCCCAAAATATGTTCTTTCTGTAGGCTTCCTACAAGGCTGTTCCATTATTCCAGGTGCTCAGGCCAAAATCCTATTCTATCCTACATCCCTTTTCTTATCTCACACCTCCCATTCAAGCCCCCAGCAATTTCTACTAACTATAAATTAAAATATTCCACAAATCAGAGCATTCCTAAGCATCTCATCACTGTAACGCTGGACTCGATCATCTGCGTCTGTCTTACTGCAAAAGGCTCTCCTACGACCTTCCTGCCTCCTACTTTGCCCTGTCCAATTTACTTCTTCCACCTGCTTATACCGAAGCACACAGTCGGATCACATCATTTCTCTATGCCAAATAAATACTCCAATGGCTTTCCATCTCATTTAGAATAACAAGATCCTTACAGTGGTCAATAGCCCTGCATAGCCTGTCCTCCCATTTCCTCTCTGATCTTATACCCTACTCTCCCACCTTCTCACCAGGATCCAGTCACGCTGGTCTAATGGTTATGCCTCAGGGCCTTTGCACTTCTCTCTGCATGGACTGTTCTTTCTCCAGACATCCTACAGCCTGCCTTACTGCTAATCTGATCAGTTTAGTCATTTTTAAAAAGTTCCAAAATCTTTTTATTTAAAAATAGGCTCCAGTGATCAATGTTCTGTCAATTACTTGATACTTAAAAATCCACTCCCAGAGTTGAAGAAACTATCAATTGGCACCTTTAAAAAAAAAAAAAATCAATTGGCTCTTCTGAGTTCATCCCCCCCCTCTTTTATGCACAAAATGTGAGAAACACTTCACATAGTAAATCAGTCTCAACAAAATGACTAAAACCATTCTTTGATGTAGGCATTGATGATTTTCCTAAAAACTCCAATGGCAACTACCTTTACCCACTGAAGCGTTTAAGAAATAACTACATTTCTTATTTAAATTTCATATTTCGAAAATGTGTATAACACTGTACAATCTAGAGTACATATACTTCCTATAATATCTAAACCAGAACTATTTACATATAAGTAATAAAGAAATTTGAGTTTTTATAACTTTGAACCAAAGGGTTGGTTTTTGTAAAAGACCCTGTTGGGGGTTTCTATAGGAGGAAAGGAGGCCCCACTGACAGTAAAATTTTCTCCTGTTGGGTACTCAGTGACCAGCCTATGGAGGTAAAACTACCCACTCCGCCCTTAGGTATCATGCTACGTGACCTCATTTAGTACTTGGTTTGTGGAAGGCCAAGGTCAGTACCTCCAAACTGGGTTAGTTTTTACTTAGGTGATTTCAGGTCGAAGACTGGAGGAAGTCTTTGCTTCATTGTGCTCTAATCTCTAGTTTTAACACCTCTTTACTACTGAGGATGTAGACAGGGGAACTAGTAAATGTTCCTTTCTCTACAAACTGCTTGTAAGATTTGAATGAAAATGCTGACACATTTTAACGATACCTGCTTTTACACTGTGAGCACACAACAGGTTTTAAAGATCTAATTGTTGATAGGTATATGTAAAACGGGATAAGATTGCCAATAACACACACACAGGCACACACACATACATCTTCTACAGGTTATGATGCTAAATATTAGAGACAGTTTATGTTGGGCTGATGGGACAGCTATAGAACCTCTCATGCATGTGATGTCCAGGTTAATCTTGTTTCCTCCTGCTCGTCTTGAGTTAATATCCTTTAATTAACTACTATTGGCACTTTTCCCCAGAACAGATTTATGCCTTAACTTATGTGATATAGAATTCTAAAACAAATAGACCGACAATATGGTTCCCTAAAAGTCATAAAATGTCATATAAATAATATCATTATTAACTAATTTATGAAACTATTAAAAATTTTATATGAAGGGGAAAAAAGGAAACCTTTGTTTCACTGGTCTATAAAAGAAAATGGGAGGGAGGAGCTTTCCAGACTAACTAAGGTCAAAATTATGCAAAGAGCATTATTTCCACTGATTTGTTATATTGGTGACAGTGAAAGTTAAAGTTTTAAAAATTTCTATCATTTCTCTTGTGGGGGATAGGTATTTTCCTTCCTGAAACAAGTGAAGAAATAGAAACATTTATTAATATTTTACTTGAATGATCTTGTCCTTTTGGAATAATATTGCCATAGATTGTTCCAGGGATATAAAATGATCATTTATTGAGCATCTCCTCCAGGGAGGCTTCGTGCTGAAATGCTCCACTGTGATCCTAACTATTCAGTCCTCATAAACCTTGTCACATGGCTGAGAGAGGGCCTAGCATGATGCTGGTATGTGGTAGGTATTTAATAAATACATCAATGAAAAATCCTAAAATTCTTCCTTTTTTTCACCATGTAACAATGTTAAAATTTCCCAGATTTACCTAGCAATCTGTTTCTTCTGTCTATAAATACAATTTGTAAGTATAGGGGTTTGAGATATCTAAAAAGAAAAATTCTACAAAGTATTCTAAGATTATAAAACACACCATGATTTTCACTCAATCTGTGGGCCTAGTCCAGGAGATGATACTTTTATAACAAAAGTATGTGAGCTGTGTTTATAGCAGCCCGAGCAGACTGAGACAGAAGTCTCCTGGAGCATGTGAGCACAGAGGTTATTGGCACCAGCCCAGCTGCCACAGAGCAGCAGAGGCTACGTTGGCATTCGGAGAAAGATCATCAGGAATGCAGGACTGTGTGGTGGGTGAGACAGACCACTGCTCCCCGCTGCCCAGGAGTTTGAGATCACACACCCTTTGAGCCCTGGAGACACCAGAATTTTAGGCAAAAGCAGTTATCACAGGATGAACGCACCTCACATGTCCACTGGTAAGAGACAGAGAGCGTTTAGGGAACATTACCTGGGGCAGTGCGAAGCCGGCTTGTGAAAGGGGCAGAGCTGCTCCACGGTGGTCTCACAGGTGACCGCCTGCACTGCAGAATTCAAACACAAACGTGGAGCAGAGTCTTTGGAAACTGTCATGTAACACAGTAAGAAAGTAAGATAGAAAAAAAGAGTGCTAACCTGTCACTTTAGAGACCGTGAAGGAGTTAGCAGACTGATATTTGCTGAAGATGAAAACAAAAAATGTCAATCATTTTCTTGTAAGTATCATCATCCATATAACTTCTGGTATTTTTTAGGTCTATGAATACTTTATTTTTTCTTAAACATTCTTATTTAAATATTTAAATAAGTAGTAATATAAGAATACATCATCTACTTTATGCTAAATCCATATTACCTTTAAGTATGAACCAAATCAATACTATTCTTAATATTAGAGGATGGTTTCTTCATTTTCAATCTCAAAAACATATAGATAACATCATAAAACAGTTCACATTTATATCTATATATTTGTTTCCTATTAAAATTAAAACTCTCAATATCCTAATTCCTTGTAACCATAGAACCAAATTATTGGATCTTTCACAACAGTAAATACAAGGTAGTGTTGCAAGAATGCTACATAACAAGTACCTTATAGGAGTATTATTTAATCCCCCTCGTATGTAGTAAAATGTCTACAATAAATGAATTCCTCTTCATTATGCATTATTAAAAAACAGGAAAACAAGAATGATATACCATTATGTATAAAAAATTACATTGGTTTTTCTGTATCCAGATTCTCAGAAAAAGCATCTATGGCGGAAGGTAAGGCTTATTTGTGATGGTGTTTAATATGACACACCCTTTCAACAATGTTTCCATAATTAGCATAATCAAAAACTATGTTAAGAGAGAAAATAAACAATAGGATGTTTTTTAATCCAATATCCAGTGTTTGGCTTACTAAAAATAATAACTAATATTTATTATTTATTCAAGGAAGTTAATAAATATTTGCAGAATGAATCAGTTAATAAATGTTTTTCTAAAGCTTTGACTTGAGAGTAATGGCTAATGACTGACTGCACATCAAGCCTCTGGTCAAAACTGTCTACAGAGGAGATCAGTCCACAAATTTGCAAGGGTTTTAGTAAATTCTTATCATCCTGAATTCCAACTTTACTGTGAAGTTTCGTGCAACTGAATATTTACAAAAGAAAAACTATGTCACATTTCCTAAGAGAAGGCATTCTATGTGAGGTTCAATAATGTTTAGTTTTTCACACAGAAGCAAGAGACACTACAAAAATATTTCCAAATCACCTATTTTTCTATATTTTATAGAGTACATATGAAAATATAGTGTTTTAGAATAACATTTAGTGTTCTTAACAGGAGAAACATTTTAAAAGGTCATCGCTGCTTTTATGTTGGATTCACACTTAAATGAACAAAAGAAAGGTGATGCATTATTTAATTAGCGACTTCAAAATGCTCTTTTCTCGACCAATCTAAGCTTATTAACAAAGTTGCTGCTGCAAAAAGTAAACTATTTTCCCTGAACAGGGCAGGGAGAATATGCGAATCGACAAGCCTTCTCTGCAGTAGTTCATAGCTGAGGAGCTTATGCTCACACTGGAAAGGCTGTCACTGTAAATGTGCACATTGTTGATGACTCTAGAAAATATGCAGCTTCAGCACCTTCGGAAGCAAAGGGGCTCAACTTTAACTTGTATCCTCTTTCCTCTTCTTGTCCATGGCAATGCTGTAGACAAAGTGAACCTTAAAAATGACCACCTTCTCTCTGTATAAATTCTTCTCTGCTTCGCCCCAATAGGATCTATTTCCTCATTGTTACAATTTAAAATCATGGGGTCCAAAAGATCATTCAGGTACTTACCCAATTGTCTGAATCCCATTTCTATTGGATTTGATGAAATAATGTTTTCTTCCCTGTCTCGTGATATCTACCCAACCGCCGTCGTTGTCTATTATGCCATAATGAATCGCAGCCTTACAGATGCTGGATTGCTTGGTAGAAAGGAAGAGAGGAAGATATTGAAATATTAGAGTTCTGCATAAAACACAACTAGTTACTGTTCGCATGACTTTAAATTGGACATTTCTGAGCAAAATATCTTTTAATCAATTACTGTTCACAGCAAAAAATCAAATATTACATGAAAGGACTCTACCCCCAAATACTTGTATTTATAATACTTACCATTTCATAATATACACTGCCAATGACTTTAGCTTTACTGTCCACACAGCCAGCAGGGCATTCATATCTAAATGAAAGAAAATGGGGCAAAAATGTAGTTTCTCTGAATGTCAATAAAAAATGAAAATATTTTTGACATTCTGTCCATTTTGAGAATAATAGTAAATATTACCGATTGCAGGTCGTTCCTTTGCACTGATCTCTTAATCTCACATCACAGGAAACAATTTGGGCTAAAAGAAAAAAAAATTAATTTAGATAATGTAGAAGCTGCCATAATTCTTCATAGTCAGTCTAATGCCAAGCTCTCACCATTCTAAAAATATGAAAGCTGATGAAGTATCGAAGGATTGCCACCTATGTAAACCTTAGCGTGCGTGCAAATAATGCAGAAGTCTTACACATTTGCTGCGTGCTTACAGCTTCGTTTGTGTTACTCTCATCCGCTCTTGTCCGAACGTGGGTGTCGTGGACTTGGGACTGCTGCCGCTCAATTTCATTGGTTTCCTCTTCTCGGGGAGTGTAGTACCTGTCTGATCCTTCTGTTAGAGAGAATGGAGTTAAGGACTGTGAATCCCATTTAAATGTGTGCAAATGACCAAGCAATGATAAATCTTGACATGCCTAACATTTCAGACTAGAAAAACGAGTGCTGTGTTTTAGTGCAGGTTTTGACTTAAGGAGATGCTCTTACGCACTACCTTGGAGTAAATGAAACATCAGGCTTTGAGCCCTTGATTTGTTGATGCTACCATCTGGCTAATGTTAAACGGAGTCTTTTCTAAACTTGGCATACTTGTATTTTAACATGTTGTCAGTTTTCATAAGGCACTGTGAAGTTCATGCAGTGATCTAATAAAGCTATTAGTGCATTTGAATTTGTTTTCCCAAAGGAAATCATATTGTTAATATTTTCAGGAGGATCACATTTAAAATTCTCCTGTAAGGAATTCAGCCTAAAGAATTGCTATGCCCTTGTTATTTATTACAATATCAGTTTTCCTGAAAAGGTTTTTTTCTCTTTCAGAAAGAAATTCATTGTGCAGAAATTTAAGTTTGACAATGGAGAATAGTTTCAGACTGTTAATATTGTTAATATTTTTTCCAGGTTGGATTATATCAAGGGCTTGGCACTGGCACATTTGGGAGAGCTGTGTTATTTTTGTGTGTGTCTAAGGACTCAGGACCTCGAAAAAGGAAAGTCAGGTTTCAGTAAATATAGCTGCCATTGGTGAAGGGGTAAGCAGGCTGGAGGTTTGGGGGTAAAGAGGAGAGAGACCAGACAGACTCACACACAATGGAAAATGCTTCTAGGAATTAAAAGTGGGTCCTATAACACAGTGAAATATATGGTCACTTCTAGTCTACTTATTATAGCTAATGAGCATTGAGTCATTCAGGGGGGAAAAGGGCACATCTCCACATGGGTGCTAAAGAGGGATGCATTTATTCATAGGTTTTTCAATCCGCTTAGTCTGCATTAATCTTCATTTAGTCATCATTAACCAAAAATCACAAGAGAGTAAAAAATGTTCACATGGGTGGATGCCCAACAAAAGCATGCCGACCTTCACAAAGCTTTGTCACATACACTTTATCTTCATGAGCCATAAAGAGGACACCATATTTGTATTTACCTTTAGGACATCAAATGCATTTGAAAGCCCTGCTTTACAATAGTTTTATAATACTGTTAAACTTTTGTTGTTGTTTTGGCATCAGAAATTGTATGCTCAACGCTGAGAAGCAGAGAATCAGTATAATTCACTGAGCGTGAGTCAAGTAAGAATCATGGCATTTCGGCAAAAGCTTTTAAAAGTGCTAAGAGTAAATTGTGTGAAATTGCTAAATCCTTCCAAATATGATTAGTTATGGAAATAACTCCAGTCCACAGTATATCAAGATGGCTTTTCACGTACATATACGTGTCGCTCTGGGATAAATTCCAAGTACAATGAGAAGTTATCTGGAATAATCATGAAGCTTTCCTTCAAATACATATTTGTATAAAAGGTGTTGATATTAAGTATGTTTTTAAATATTCTAAATGGTGTCTTTGAAATATATGAAACAGAATTCTGGAAACTTTTTGGGTAATTAGATATACATTTGTTTTTTTAAAACAGTAATTAAAACATAAGTTAGATTAAAATATGATTCAAACTAAATACAGTGACTCAGCAGCACATACCTTTGTAGCACAGATTTTCTCTGCAGCCTCCTCCAAAGCTAGGTGGGCAAGCGGAGCAGGGCCGTCCGTGCTTGTAGGGGGCGTGGCCCCACCAGTTCCCCCTTAAAGAGCCAATCAGTACCCTTTTAAGAGGTAGTCTAACAGCATCATTTACAAGACATTGCAAAATATTACTGTATAAGAGTCCTCTAAGTGATGAATTTTAAAATGTATCTCTATTGTTCAAAGATTTACATATGTCCCCATTTTTCCCCCTTTGACTCCCCCTAACCCCCCACCCTCAGGCCTACTGCACTATTGTCTGTGTCCATGGGTGATGCATATATGCATATAAGTTCTTTGATTAATCTCTCCTTGACCCCATACACACACTTCCCTCTGAGATTCATCAGTCTGTTCCATGCTTCCATGTCTCTGGACCTATTTTGTTCATCAGTTTATTTTGTTCTTTAGATTCCATATATGAGTGAGATCCCGTGGTACCTGTCTTTCTCTGACTGACTTATTTCGTTTAGNCTGGACCTATTTTGTTCATCAGTTTATTTTGTTCTTTAGATTCCATATATGAGTGAGATCCCGTGGTACTTGTCTTTCTCTGACTGACTTATTTCGTTTATCATAATACTCTCCAGCTCCCTCCATGCTGTCTCAAAGGGTAAGAGATTCTTCTTCTTTACAGCTGCATAGTATTCCATGGTGTAAATGTCCCACAGCTTTTTTAGCCACTCATCTACCGATGGGCACTGGGGCTGTTTCCAGATCTTAGCTATTGTAAATAATGGTTCTATGAACATAGTGGTGTAGATTTAAGACTTTCATATCTTTTATCACAGAATCTTTTGGTTACCAGGTTTAAATATAAATTGCTGCCTCATTCTTTTGAAATATATTAAATAATTTGTTATGCACATTGTTAAAAATTACAAAGTTGAACTTGCAGAACATCAAACTCTGCTATGGAATATTCACCTATATTCCATTTGTTATAGTAAAAACAGATTTTAGACTTAGCTTTGACCCTACGTATGACTGTATAATATTTTTAGTGTAATCATTTGAATGGTCTTTACACAGGTAAAAATGCACATTTCTTAGTTAATCTACAGTTGTTCATCTCTAACAAATCAAAATTATTGAATATTTATGCAATGTAATAGTGCAGTGAGTAGAACTGAAGGCACAAATATGATCCTTGTCCTCATAAAGATCATATTTTCAACTCTCTATTCCTTTTAAGTACTGATTTTATTCATCGGGCAACCATAATTACTATCATATTACGTAAACTGAATTAAAACAATATACTTTATTTAATAATACACACTGAATACATGAAAAAAAAATTAGAAATATCAAGTTATTTTCATGTTAAGAAAATTTACATGTGAAAGTGATTTTGTCTACTTACTTTGGGGAATAGTTGCACACCAAGTAGACAGCTTTGGGCCAAATCTGCCCCCAGATGTTCATGTTATGGCACAAATTAATGGCACAGCCTATTCTGCTGCTTGTTGCCCACACAACCTACAGTGGAGGAAAGAAAGGCTTAGAAAAGGCAAGTTGGGATAAAGTAATACAACACATCTGAGAGACAAATGTAAAAACTGCACTTGAGAAACAAACATTTATCATTTATTTTTCCTGAGACTTTGGGAAGTCTTTAATTCAATTAAAATAACAGATCTATAGCTCAGTAACTCTATCTGGCTATAAAATGTAAGCACTTCAGAGTACAAATTTACTAACTAACTCAAAAGTTAGCGCCTCACAAACCTTAATTCTGTATTAATATTTGTATGAAGAAACTCACCTAACAAAGAAATAGAATTTCTCAGCTTAAATGGAAAGCACTAGAGCAAAACCTTAGGTTCACATTTCTTATACACCTCAGTATCTCCTTGGGCCGCTGGCAATTACGGAGTTCAACGTTGGTCTTAGTCTTGTCGCACACAGAGGCATATAGGACATTCTCTGCTTTATATTCCCTAATAATCAGCCATAGATCTTCTGGAAACTCCAAACTGTGGTGAGCTTTACCTAGTTGAATCTGCCTTCAGTTATGTGATTTCAAAGTTAAAACATATCCAATACCAAGTGTAAACATTAAATGGAAAAAAAAAATGCTGCACACACAGGAATAGCAAATATCATTAGTAAATAAAATAATATTTTTATTCTTTGGAAAATAAGAAATAATGACACTTGAATTTGAAGATAGTGAATTTCTCCCCATTTGCACTTATTGGGGCGATATTAAAATGTTTCACATGTAAAATAATCGCAATAATGTGTTTTTAAGCATATGTTTGGTCCTTTTTTCCTAATCATTCCTTTCTGTTTATAGAAATTTCCAAGCTTATTCTGCATAAATCAGTAACTTATAATTAATAACTGTAGCAAAAGACGTAAGACCCAAGTCCTGCAGCCTGAGTCCTCCCACCAGTCCCACAAGCGCAGTGGACACACCTGAGTGTAGTGAGTGCACACGGGCCCGGCACATCGGAAGGGGCAGTAGGGGTCGCACTCGTGCTCATAGGGGTAGCTGAAGTCCCGCACCTCGTCATACCAGGCCTGCACGTGAAATGTCGGGGGTCTGTATCTATTTGAGGTAAAATAACCACCAACAGCAAGTGAAGTTGGAGCAAATGTAAAACCACATATTGCAAATAGATTGATAACGTAGGGTAGAGAGATTTTTGTGTAAGTTGTTAATCTTAAATACTTATGCCCATTACATTATTATTATATTAACGATCCAAAACAGAAATAAATCTCAAATACTGCTGACCATCCTCATCCATTTATTTTTTATTATTCATGTTGGTGTGACTACTTGTTTTCCTTTAAGACACCAAGCCTTTGAAAATGTGCTACGTGAATTAATAAGCATTTCATTTCAGACACGTTTTCCGAAACAAAAAGTTACATTTTAAGCTACCTTCCCCAGTGTGCTCCCAAATTCTGTCCAATGGATGGAAGCAAGCTTCCAGGCCCATGTTCCCATAAACAAGTTTCAGCCCAGGACTCTGCAGATCTTTCCAGCTCGACATCCCATGTCTATAGTTCAAAACAAAAGCAAAATACAGATACAAACATTTAATGTGTATGTATAGTTTGGACATTCCTTCTAAATACAGTGGCGTTCGTTCTTATGTTTTCTCTTTTCTTACTTATCTGTAAAGACAACATCTTAGTCTGAGTGCTCACCATCTCTCACCAAGATTTCTGCTCTAGCCACCTACTTAATGTCCTTGCCTCATCTCTCAACCCTCCAATCTGCTCTAACAAGCGTTGAGAATGACCTAAGTGAACACAAATACACTGAAGTGATTCCTCTGCTGCACACAGGCAACAATCCCCATTCCCGTGAAGTCCAGGGTCCTCGGTCCCTTTGTTCTCCATCACACACCCTGCTGTTCCTTGCTCTCCTTGCCACTGTTTCCAATCCCTAAAACATCCTCCCCTAGTTATTTGTCAGACAGAACTGACTCTTTCTTGGCAATCCTGTTTATAAAATTCTTGACACCGTTCCAGTTCTCCCAGAGGCCAAGTAATTGCCTCCTGGAGGATCCTGAAACTTTGTTATGCTCCTTTGTTTAGCAGCTATTACACTGTAATATTAGTGTTTGTCTATACGGTTATCTCTTTCTTGAGACTGAGTTGCTTGGGGCAGTTATTTAAGTCATGCTGGTATCTTTGGCCTATTTTCTGTGTCATATGGACAAGGTGGTTCGTAAATGTTTGTTGAATACATGAATGATTGAATCTGAATCCTATGAAATGTGTATGTGTTTTGTATACAAAATTCAATGAGGGTGATTCATTCATACTTTAAAAGTAGTTTATAAAGAAATATTTAAAATTGCAAAATTATCACTGAAATATTTTTGCCTATCTTGGGTTTAATATTCGATTTGTTAATTTGAAAAACAGACAGTGTAGTGAGTGTAGTGGTGAAAACACAGAGTTAGGTAGAGCTGGGTTCAGTCCTGGGCACGATCAATCACAGGACTCTGGGCATGTTTTGAGGACAGGAAAATACTCCTGGAACAAGATCATGAGGCCACAACCTCAGGTGACAGCAAGGAGGTGAAAAGAGAAGACAGACCGAACTGATGCTTAGGAATGTAAATTCCTAGAAGTTGGTGGACAACCGAACTTGATAGGTGGTGAGGGTGAAAAATAGTGTGGACTGATGAGGTTACCAAACTGAGAGAGAGAAAACACAGAAAGAGATCTAGGCTGTGGTGGTAGAAATGTCTGTGTAACCCCACGCACACCTCAAGGCCGGGGCGTGAGGTGCCCGCTAGGCCTCGCTACACGTGTCAAACAGAGGGCGGGAACACATGGCCGGGTTCCGGGGGGAGACGTGTGCTCAGGACACATGAATTTTGAAGTTATTCATCCAGAGATGATGATTTCCTCAAGAAGATGACACAGAACGGGAAGGGGAATGAAAAGAAAATTCTGGAATATCAAAATTGAAAGGGAGAAAAGAACAAGTTAGTAAATTAAACTACGAGATCAGGGCTCAGAAAGGTTCAGGGAAAGCTGGAAAAGAATTAAGTTACAGAAGAGAGGGGGCAAGAGATTCCAGGAGGAGTGGGCAACAAGGTCAGTGCCAGAGAGGGGCCAAGAGGGGGGATGGCTGCTAGCCCATGACTAGGAGCAACTTCAGCCCACTGCTGGGGAGAGAAGCAGGAGCAGAGAGCACAGTGACAGGAAAGAGAAAGCCAGGAAAGCAAGCGGGGCTTCTCTGTTAACGAAGAAAAGAGAGAGGGCAGAAGCCTAAAGAGCTAAGATGCCAGGGCCCAGGGAGAATGTGCTTGCCGGCTTTCATTTTTAAAGGATGGCAGAAATCTAATGGTGACCAGATCGGAAGGAAAAGAAGCTGGGGAGAGAAAGAAAGGAGACCGCATGGGGAGAAGTTTCTCCATTCATTCCTACAAATTTTTACAAACGAACATGCTTCCTCATTCAATTGTGAATCTGAAATATATATATTCATGTTTCCAAAGCCCAAAAGTTTAAGAATAAGTATATTCTTCCAGTTCATCTTCATTATCTAGCAAAAATACAAAAATGTGTCTTTACATTAACTGAAAAATTAAGAGCAGCAAAAGTAGCTGATTTTCATAAAAGCTTTAATTTTACTTTGGATTAAAGTCAACTATTCAAGATGACAGGTTTTGTGATACAGACATAAAAAATGCATGCTATGAGTACTGAAGCCCTTTATTTGCCAAACATGGACGTACTATTTCTTAACGTCATTACTTAAATAGACCTAGTTATATTATTAAATATTTTATGTAATTATACAAAGATATAATTCAAGTTACTGTCATTATTATCCAAACAAATTAGGTAAGAAAAAAAATTCGCTATATAGTCCCAGAAAATGAGCATCATACTGATTTGATTTCCTTTTGTATCCAGTAGGATGGAGAGAAAGCAGAGTCATCCCTCAAAATCGAGCAAGTTTCCAGGTAGAACTCCCTGGAAAGTAGTTTGTCCTAAAGAGACAAAGGAATTCTTGTCCTCAGTCTGGGAAGTCAGGTCCTTGCATAGCACTGTAGTCACAGGTACAGTGAAATACACTCAGCCACAGGTTTCTAATCTAGCAACCTTCCCATATTCAGAGTAGCCAAGGACCAGAAGAAAAACAAACAGTTCCTACATGGCTTTAAAAAAAAATGCTTAAAACCACTGTAATGATTTTAAAGCTCAAAAGGTGGAGCTGTATCCCCTCCCCTTCCTTTCGATTTGACTGGACAGTGACTCCCTTCTAATGAAAATGACACTGAGACTTCTTAGGCTGGGTTAGGAAATACAGCCTCTACCTGCTTCTTTCTCTCTCTCTCTCTCTCCCCCTCTCCCCCTAGTTAATTCTTACCCAAGGATATTATTTCCATTGATTTTTAGAGAGAGTGGAAGGGAGGGAGAAGGGGGAGGGGGGGAGAGAGAGAGAGAGAGAGAGAGAGAGAGAGAGAGAGAGAGAGAGAGAGAGAAATATTGATGTGAGAGAGACACATTGATTGGTTGTGCCTACTGGAGCCAGGATTGAACATGCAACCCAGGTAGGTGCCCTTGATCAGAAATCGAACTCATGACCCTGTGGTGCTCGAACCAACACTCCAACCACTTAGCCACACCAGCCAGGGTGACTCTCTCTCTCATATATGTGTGTGTGTATGTATGTACACACACACACATATACTGTTGACAGTATTACAGATGTCCCCCACTTTTTTTTTTTTTTTAAGACACACATCTTGGCAGATCTGAGCCAACAAATTAGGAGCCCAGCAGCCCTGAAGAAGTGGCTGTAAATGTCCTGTGGAGAGAGCACACAGAGACAGAGCAATGTGGGAGGAGTTCCTTGTTGACTTTTCCTGCTCTGGCATGAGACCTATCAGTGTGCAAGTCCAGGTTACTGAGGCACCTGAGAGACCCAGTGAGAACCACCCAGCTGAGCCCTTCAAAGAGACCTTAAGACCCTTATTCAAGGTCTTTTTACTCTTTTCTGCACATGATACTACAATCTTAGATGTCAGTTTTTCCTTTGAAGTTGAAGATGGATCCCTTTTAGAGAGGATATACATACAAACAATCCCAAATTCACAAAACAGGTCATATTTCAAAAATTTGTGTATATATCTGCTATATGGAAATTGAAATAAAATCTAAAACATATTCAAATCCTTTAGGCTAAGTTTTCTTACTTGGAAAATGTGCCAGTGGAAACAGAAGATAACTCAGGCCTCTTCGAGGACTAAAATTCAATGAATTATATACCATGGATAAAAGCTTTTTTTATGGCATGACAAGTTTTCTATCTAATTCATTAAAAATAAGGAGGGAAATATATCAAATGAACTGTAATAAGGCTAAAATAAGGAATCCATTACTTTAATATAAGAACTGAGGCAAAGGAGCCTGCGATTAAAATTTACTATCAATATTTCATAAATATTAATTAGTGGTGATTTTGAAAGTAATTATTTATTTAAAAATCTAATCAAGTATAGGTGTTTAGGTCAAGTTCTCTAATACAAATCAAGAAGATTCTTTTTAAAAAAAAAACTTACTAAAAATATAGCTGTCCTAGAAGAAATGTTACCATAACAGCAGGGAATGTGTATTTATATGCTACAACATTATATTTCAGGTTTTAAGACCACCAGTAATTCATACCAATCCCATTTAAATGTAGGTTAGTCTCTATACATTTCTTTTTAAATTCAGGTTTGTAAATTAAATCAAGATGGCCTGAAGGGCTTTTTCCCCCTCTCTGAACTATTCACCCTGCACTAATTTAAAGCCAAACCGCACTTAAAACTACCATTTCTTTATAAGATGGGTACTTGAGGTGTGCAGAAATGAAAAACGCTCTATTTTCCACCTACGCGTCCTAGGCGGTTTCTTCTTAGAGCACAGTAAAGCGTTAAATGAAGTTTTATTACTAAAAGAAGCAGAAAGCTATTGACATTCTTTGTTTCCAATGATATTTTTAAGCCAGTTCAATATGGAGGCTCTATTTTGTGTGTGTGTGTGTGTGTGTGTATGAGAAATCTTAAACATTACCAAAGGACTTTCAAAAGTAAACCTAGAAATACATAGTAATTTTAGTACTAAAATGTTATACTTGTAGAAACTGGAAAATATGTAACCATCTAGACAGGTACCGACAATTCCATTGACTGCTATACTTTGGAAAGTATGAGTGAGCAAATACAATTCTGACTCCTACCGGAATACCTGCTATCCTGCTTTAATAACAGACACTCAGTGAAGGCTGGAAATCACTCAACAGTGTAGTTTGAAATACAGTTAATATTGCCAGCTTACCAGTACCTTGGGCAAAACCAGTACTATACACTGGGCAAAAACAGTCATTAGTCAAGTTAAATTTTCTTCCTCTTTGGCACGGGAATAGTTTTCTCTCTTAAAAATGATTAAGTATTTTCAAATACATCTTCTTGACCTTCAAGAACGAATCTGTCATTCTATAGAAGCAACACATTTGACAGTTCATGAGATTTCAGATTTAAATGCC